AAAAAAAAAAAAGAAAATAAAAACAAAAACGCTCATTAAAATGCTTATTAATGAAATGTGCGAGTTATAACTGTTAGCTGAAAAACACTTCATAATTTTCTTAACAAGCAAGAAAAAAGTCACGATACAGATTTGTCTAATCAAACTTGACAGGTCAGTATTAGTAGCGAAGGGGAAAGTTTGCCGTTTGCTGTTCGACAAACTAATGAAGTGTTCCCACTTTCCCTGACATATACACTCATTAAAACTGGCAATTCAACATTTCTACAACCAGAAACTCTTTATGTGTTTGTCATAAACAGTGTAGAAACGAGAAAAAAGTTCTTAATAGATAGCTAAAACAAAAATCCAACATTTTTCCAAATAAAACATTGTTTAGTGATCAAAAATCGACGAAAAATTAATGCGAGAAAAAGATGATAAAAAAAAGTGAAAAGCTCAGAAAAATAAGGTTAAAGACATAAAGGTGGTTTGTATTCATCCGACGCTCAAAAGGTAGCCAAGGAGTATCAGAGTGAGTTAAGAACAAGAAGAAAAAAGAAAACGGCTTGTTTCAAACAAATAAGTCATAGCCTGAACTCAAAATAACCGTCAATTAATAAACTGAGTTTTTGTAATGTCTGCTGTCGAGGATACTGCTGTTCAAATTCATCAAAAAATGCTGGATAAAAGATAGAGTTGTCACAATGTTAATATCGAATCCCACCCAGCCTCTTGCTGCACGCCCACAGCTAACAAGAAAAAAATAAAACAGTTTGGCTCAGAATCGCTTCGACAAAACTAAATGCACTAACAACTGTCCATGGACTGTCATCCTTAATAATTTTCATATATTAAGACTTTCTTCAAAAATTAGCGTTCTAATGTCTAAAAAGTTTGCAGTTAGAGTTTTTCTACGGTTTACACATGCAAAGATTTTGTTACAATATAAAAAGTTCAAAAATAAGACAATCAACTGAAAAAGAGAATAAATGAGTAGTTGCTGCAGTATATAACGGTTCATCCTTAATCCATAAAACTTATGAAGCATAAATGTAAAATTGTTAAAATTAAAAGATTTTTTTTTTTTTACAGTGCTGTCAAAAAGAGTTTTGCAAACACAAGTATCTTTTTAGCTATTCAACAAAAAATTTTCTTCTTAATCTGTTCAGTATATAATACAACTAGCTTTTTATGCTTCCTGTCACGCAACATTATTATCAAGTGCTGTTCAGCTGTCACTTCTAAATTCGTGACAGAAGCCAGGCTAATTTGCTGATTTCTCCAACTGCTTCAATCCACTATCTTTAAGCTGTAACTTCCAAAGTTTCATTTGTGACAATTTCCGTCCTACTTATCTTACTTACTAAGCCACTTCGTGACGACTGTCTGTACCAAGCGCTGTTAACAGTTGATAAATTTCGAAACATCGAAGATTTCTCAAGCTTTATTTTTTAGTCCATGAGCTTCCGCATGCCTTTCCTAAATTCTTTTCAGAAACTTGTATTTGGCACAAAAAGTGAGTCCCAAGGACAGAGGGATCTAAACTTAAATAAGTAAGGGTAAATTTATAAAAGATTACTCCATGTATTATGTGAAGGCGTATGATTCTTCCAACAGATATAAGATGTTTTGCTTTTGTCAAAGTTTATTACCTTCAGATAAAAGTGATAAAAGCACACTACTACAGTCACCCTTAAAACAATTAGCTGATGTAACTTAGATAAGCTCTCATGCGGAAAAATAACATGCCTCAGTTAGACAAACCTATAGTTCAAGCTACAACTTTTAATTGATTTTTTGCTTTAAAAGAAAACCCAGAAATTTCAGACAATCTACGTAACAGAAGGCGATAAGCAAAAATAGTCACTACTTCAAAATTAGCTGAATACCTCTACCAAAAGATATTTTTTTAATATTGCCAACCTGAGTTTTCTTTTTTTTTTCTTTAAAGTCCTTTAACAATTCCACCAACAGTTTGAAAAAAGCAGCAACTCTTATGTATCTCAACAACCGAAAAGCCATATAAAGAAAATCAAGGTTCAAAACCTTTTCTTCACAAAACCATTGTAGCATTGAAAAGTGAACAAGAAACCGTGAAGCAATAAGTCTGTCATTGTCAGTGTTCTCAGAACCAGAAAATCTAATAACAATTAATTTTCAGATGACGACCCCAATTTATAAAACTTTTTATCCCACTTGCTCAATTGCTTTTTTGTATGTTAATAAAAAAACAAAATTACTCGCAGCCAAGATTTAATAATATTACTATTAGCGTCAAGAAAATGGTTTTATGAACAACGTATAAAACAAATTTTACCTCCAAACTAAAATAAAGAGAAGGCAATAAATTTTTGCACAGAAAAAAATTTTTTTAATTTTTTTTTATCAAATTAAAATCATGATGAAAGCGACAACCGCATTAATTATTCTGCTTCCCAGTGCTTTACCCAAAAATGTGTAAGGCTGTGGTTGGGTACCAAATCTCTACTTTCATCATCAAAGAAAAATCATGTCAACTCTGAGCAGAAGGTTTAAAGACGGTAGCACTTTGAAGTTAAAAAATGATGTGGAAAAGAGCAAGAAAATTTTGAGGAATAAAAATATGGAACTTTAAAAGACATGTAGCAACTAACAAAGCTTACATATTGAAACTGACACGAACAAAGACC